TTCTCAATGCTCCCAAGTTGATTTCTGCGTGCAGCACGCCGCCTAGGTCTCCTCCCTAGAAAGTTCTTTGAAGACGAAGAGGCAGAAGAAAGAATCGCGATGTGTTGCTGCCTCAGCGGCTCCGTTTTACACTTACCGAGACGTCTTGAATGTGCAGGTTTCACAGCTGTTATTGCCCACTGTTCCCCCCTCCTTTCTCATATCTGCGCGCAGCCTTCAAGGCTCTCTTCATCCTCTCGCAAGCCCTTGAAACAACCCCGCTCACCGGGCGGTCCACCACCACTGTTACCGCTTCCGCAGACTGCCGACATGGCCCGCTCGTCCAAGCGTCGGGGCAGCAAACACTACCCGCCCTCCTGCCGTGACTCTTCCTCCTCGTCCTCCTCCACATCGATCTCTAGTGAAAGGGAACTGGGTAAGTTCTGCTGTTTCGATTACACTTTTCTCCCGAACATATTTCTCTTCTCCCCTCCCATCAGACATCTAACCTTCCCCCAGTTAAATTTAGTCGAGTCATCTCCTCTACCTTGTACGTCGAATCCGACACTCGTCTATGGTATTCAGCGTGGCGTCTTACTTTCTACCGTCTAATGCGCTTTGCAATCACGTCGGGGGACCCACTTGCCGTCAGTGAAGGTTTTATTCAGACGTTAGTAGGAGGTTTCGGTCGACATGAATAACTCATTTCACTCACTTACGAAAATGTCGACTGTCCCTGCCTAATTACTTGCGCCTGGTAGTCATCTGCTGTATTCTAGATTGATTGTTAAAGAAATCCTGCTTCGACAGTCAGCTTACTGTGTATCAGAATTAATGAATTCACCGTGTATTGCAGTAGACTGACCTATTTGTTATTACACTCACGGTTCCCGGTGGGGATCTCGTAGCTCAGTTGGCTAAAGCGTTGGCTGTGTACTAAAGCCTTCCCCCTTGCCTCCAATCTAACCGAGGTAGCCGAGTTGTTCGCAAGTTGGTCAGATGAATCTGTTCAGTTTGCTTGGGCAGATTTTAATGTACTAGTCTGGGTCGAAGGCTCCCAGCCTTTTACAGCACCCTGGTCTGTGCGTTGTCATCTGCCTGATCAAACAGTAATGCACGGCAATACTGCCGATAGAACAGCCCTAGAGGCTAAGGGGGAGGAGGCAAATAGTTATTTTTAGTATGCGAAAATACTCGAGGTCCCGTTATAACATTGCTTTCATCATCCCCGGAAGGGGAAGAAGAAGACGGGGTAATTTCTTAGATCAACTTCTATTTATGCTGACGTTTCAAAAGCACTCTCGCTTCCATCGACTGGCACACTTAACAGACCTATAGACCTTCATCCCGCCTAACAAGCGCTCCGCACAAGGCTAACATCTGCTCAGAATGAAGGAATAGGTCGGGCGGGGGAAGGTACGCAGGACCGACAGCCGGCACCCACGAGCGAAGGTGGAAACGCTCAGAAGGCACACGAACGACTTGACCCACCTCGTGGAGGTGCCCGCGAGGGTGCGAACAATTCAAACAGCCACTAGCTATCGATCGTTACAATCGGTCGACACGTGGGCATCAAGCACGACTAGCGGTTAGAAACGCTCACTTGACATCCGGCAGGAGAATAGTCACCACGCTCTGACGATGGAAGCGAGAGTGATTTTGAAACGTCAGCATAAATACAAGTTGGTCCCAGAAATTGCCCCGTCTTTTTCTTCCGCT